TTCGTTGTGTCCATTTTCCGCTCATTTCCTAGACCCTTCACTGACGCATTCACACCACAGGTTACCACCATCGGCCGCTCGGCGCTCTTGGTGTGAGGCTCCTACCTTAGATTTTATCCCATACTCTCTACCTTCCTTTTTGCTGCGCGACGCGACGGACATTACAAAAAATCGGATATCGTATATATATAACGGGCGAGGAGGAGACGGAGCACTTAGACTTGATACAGTTGGACGAGTACTCAGTTAATGCGTGTCAATAGAATACGGAGATTAGAAATGCTAGAACAGCGGAGACACAGAGAGAATATAAGGTCTGCTCAATTGAAAGCAGCTATGTACTCGTCGTATTACTTTACAACCTGATACGATATGCTTTGTCGTTAGGTCTCTTCTAAAACTACATGTGTACGGTCACTGTAATAAAGATATCAACGTCAAGGTCAAGCGCGAGGAATAGGATGGATGGGGGCTTTATTTGGAGGCAAGCGAAAGGAAACCGACGAAGGCAGCAAGGGAAGGGGAAGAGGAGAGACGTCGATGTGAGAATAAAAAGGAGGTAGAGGGGAGTAGGCGCGTGCGTGTGCTCTACGACGAACGATGGAGTGGGGAGTTAGGTATCGGTGGATCTACGAACATTGTCAAACGACGACAGGGGGTGCGAGCGGTGGCGGGACGTCGACATGCATTGGGACTGGGGCTGGGACCGTTGTCGGTGCAGGCTCAGTGAGAAAGGGCGTGGGCGTGGAGGCGGACGTGAGGGTGCTCGTGGAGGCGGGTGCGACAGGACTGGCAGTGGGATTTGGGGCTGGATTTGGATTTTGCGTAGGGGCGACGGAATTCGAGGTCGGCGGAGACACCGCAGGCTGTGGCTGCACCGAAAACAAAGGAACCGGCTTCTGCGCCTGCTTCCCAGAGGGCGTAGACTGCTGCTGAGGCGGGACGGCGAACGTCGCCTGCTGCCGCCCGTGATACCCCTGCTCGCTACTCGCCGGTGTTTGAAACGCGCCCGACGAATAATACCCCTGGGCTCCGCGGTAATACGGCGAGGCCTGCGTGCCCCCGGCGTAATATTGAGCGGCCGTTGGGTAGTGCCCACCGCCCGGGACGGGGGCCGCCGCGGGAGGACTGGTGCTCGTACCACCGTTGATTGTTGGGAAAGCGCCGCCGTACGCACCGGTTTTATACGGATTGGGATTTGGGGTAGCGCCACCAGCAGCTGGTGAGTTGCTTGGGGCAGCCCCGCCATACGTACCGTTCTTGGCGGCACCGTAGGAACCGTATGCGGTCGGCCAGTAATTGCTGTACGGGTTCTGCGTGGGTTGGCCGTGCTGCGGCTGGTTTGGAGTTTGAGTTTGGTTTTGATGCTGATTTTGCTGCTGGCTCGGAACGTGGGACGGGTACTGAGTCTGCGCAGGCCCCGCGTGTTGGAGTGGGTGTGACGAATGAGACTGGACGGCCGCAGTGGGTTGACCGCGTTCCTCCTGTTGCGACGCGCGCGCGGGAAGGTGAATGGTATGAGAGTAGTGCGACACTCCGGCAGTTGCCGTTGGAAGAGTATTCTGGGGATACTGTGAGGCGTATCCTTGGCCATGGGGGGCATATGAAGTCGGCTCGTTGAGGGCGGGCGGATACGGTGCAATCGCGCGCCCGCCGCCACTGGACCCCGCGGTGGCGTTCTGCCTCCGGGCATTATTTAGGTTCGGGTCTGGGACGACTGAAAGTTTGATTTCAATATAACAGCGACAAGTAAAGGAGGTAGACAGCTTACCGCCGTACTCGGGTCCGACGCCCATGCCCATGACGATATTGGCCCACTTGACCTCGCGCACCTCACCTGCATCCCATAGCACCTCGACGGCGCGCCGGTCCTCGACGACGCGCATGAGGGTGACCTCGAAGACGCCGGAGGAGACGCGGATCTTGATGCGCGAGAGGGGCGGGAGCGCGAGCACGTCGGCGCGGAGGGATTCAGCCTTAGAAGCACGGCGCGAGGCGACGATAACCTAGCATAGGTGTTATAACGTCTTAGCTCTGTGTAGTAAGTGGGAGCGAACGTACAGGGTTATGTTGCGCACACAGTGCCTCGACCTCCGTCTTGCGGATGACCTTGAGTACGCGCAGGTTCGGCTCGGCGTCTTGACTATTGGTGCCCATCGTAGGCGCAGGCTCGAGTAGTACTACTTCCTTCTCTACTTCACGCACGACCTTGTACGCGATGCCCGTGCCCGCATCCGCGCCGGCCCGCGCGCAGTTGATGTGGAACGCCTTAGGGCACTTGCCCTTAGCGCATTGGATGAGAGCGCCGTGGGATTTGGAGCGCGGGGCGGTGCATGCAGCACATTTCTGAGCCCCGAAAAATGTCAGTTAACGACGAGAATGAGGGCCGGGAAACGCACCAAACTCCAGCGCGCGCGCTCGACCCCATCGACGCCAAAGACCACCCGTTCTGTCTTGCGCTCCTGGCCATGCCCACCTCCAACAACGATTTCATCCACCCACGTCTCAGGCAACACGACCGCGCACCCCTCGTGGGCCATCCACACGCCCTTCCCGCCTGCATTCGAGGGATAGTGCACCTCCGTCGCCGCGCCGAGCTCACGCCACGCCGCCGGCAGGTCGTGTACGCGTAACAGGTCGCCGCGCGCGGGGGAGACGCAGAGGCAGCAGGGGAAGATCGCCTGCGGCTGGTGGGCGACGAGGATTTGATAGCCAGAGGAAGAGTGGTGGTGTGAGGAAGAGTGCTGATGGGAGGACAGCCCAGCCGGGCGGGGGCCGATCTTGAGCGTAATCTTGGGTGGGACGGCTTGGTGGGTGGTCGGGAGGACGTAGGCTGCGCCCGAGCCGGATGCGTGCGCGTGGTGCGTTGGGGCAGCGGTCGCTGTGCGCACACGCTTCGGCGCGGGCCCCTCGGGTTCGAACGGCGCGGTGGGCTTGCGTTTTCGCGGAGTTTGGCGAGGCTTCGGCACCGGCGTCGAGGCCGTAGTTGTCTTTGTCGGGGTGCCCGTGGACTTGGCCTTTCCCTTCGAGCTGGTGGAGGCGGGTGTGAGAGTCACGACGGGCATGTCGACGTCGAGGGGGTTAGTGAGATCGTCGCCGTCTGGGAAGAGCCCATCGCGGACAGCACGAGCTTGGGCGGCAGCGGCAGGGTCGGTGAGTTCGAGGGCGTCGATGCGGCGGTCTTCGAGGAGCTGATCAACATCGATGCGGACGCTGTGTGTGTGTGTGATTAGTTCCGTGGTGAAGCATAAAGCGATCGCAAGCGTACCTGTAATCGACACACCCGCACACCGACGCTTTTCTTCCCTCGTCCAACCAGCTCTCCAACGCAAAATTCACACTCTCCGCGCAGTTCAGCCCCAAATTGAACCCCGCATGGTACCCCCTCGGAAAGGTGACGACAAATTCGCCCGCGTGCTGCACGAGGTGGTTCGGACGCACAGCGGACTGCGAGAGCAGCGTGGGCGAGGCGAGGAAGGACTTGTGCCGTAGGAATTGAGGGCAGGTGGAGGTGTCTTTGGGGAAGTAGCCTGGGGGTGGGGGTAAACATGGGAATGTGGACTTGGAGCAGAGGAGACGGCAGGGAGAATAAGTGCGGCACGAAGAAGTGGATGCCTGGGGCACTGACAGACCCGCCGCGCGGTGCAGCACGGTACTTACGCCTGCGTTATGGGCACGGGAAAAAAACACTCACCCCTCATAGTATCCTCCAACGCGCCCGCCCGTCCTTGAGGCACAGCGTACCAAAATTTGGGCGCGCCAAAATGGATGTAGTTGATTGAGAACAAGTCCATGTCTTCGACATGCCAGGCGAACGTTGCGCGCCACATGCCAAAGTAGAGGTAGGGGGTGTTTACACCGGGAAGGCCGGTGGAGGCGGGGAGGAGGCGGGTGAGGAGGGAGGGGAGCGTGGCGACGTTCCAGGCAGAGGTGCGCGGGGTAAAGAGGGAGCCTGGGCAGTACGAAGTAGTTGGTAACTTTGAAGCGACAAGCTGAGCAATGAACTCACCCATTGTGTCGGCACCATACCACGCTGGCTTTCCGAGGCCGCAATTCCGCCAAAACGCGCGCTCGAGCTTCGCACAAAACTCGGGAGTGTAGTCCGCGGCGACAGTATCCGGGGGCAGCCAGTCGGTATGAGGAGTGAAGGAGTCCAGAAAAGACGCGTCCTTGTCTGCGCGCTCAATGCGGCGGTTACGCGGCTTCGAGTCCGGGGCGGGCTTTGCGTCCTCGGGGTCGGGGGAGGCGCTGTTGGGGGGCGAGGCCATGGCGGGTGTGGTGGTCTCGTCCTCGTCGTCGTCGTATTTCTTGGCCTTTGAAGGCACCTTCTTGCGACGACTGCGTAGAGCGGGCTGGGCGCTGGGATTGTTGTGGAGGCCGACCTGGCTCTTGCCGGGCGCGCGGAACTCGGGCTTTGCGCAGAGCTCCGCCCACTCGCGAACGCTCATGAGCTTGCGCTTCTCGACGTTCTCCTGCCTGAAGAGGCCCGCCCGTCCGCGCATGAACTGCTCGATGGGACTCTTGATCTTCACCGTGCCCAACTGCGGCGTGACGTCGGGGAGCGCGGCGGTCCATTCGGGCGGTGGCACTATCTTGACGATCCCTGAGCGGCGTCCCCAGCACTCGACCCGCGTCATGTACCCCTCAAAGTCCGCGAACTCGTCCATGCTGGGCTTGAAGACCGGAATCCCTCGGTGCGCTAGGGGATCGTCCTCGGGCGTAAGGTATGTCTTGCCCTCAGAGTCCGGCGACGGTGGCAGATGTGATCCCTCCGCACCATAAAAGTGGTCGGGCTGCACAACACCCGCCTCGGGAGACGGCGACCTCGACGCCGTCAGCGACGACACTGGCGACGACATGCGGGTTCTGAATAAAATCAATCGTTATTTACTTTGACTCGCATCAAATTCTAGCCCGCCCGCGACCCCTAGGCCGACCGCGACTCATGCGTCCTTTCGGCCGCCTGGGACTGTGGCCTACAACGGGGCACTCGATACAACGGCACTGTGGCGGAGTGGTTAACGCGACAGATTCGAATTACTCTTCATCTGTTCCACTTTGTGGGCGCATGTTCGAATCATGCCAGTGTCGACCTTTTTTTCCCCTTCCCCCAGTGTTGTCCAGGGGGGTCACTCAAACCTACCGGAGTTGAGCGGAAGCTGAAGCAAAGGCCTGTTCATGTTTATTCGCCTGGGGCTCCGGATGCCCAGTGAGAAACAGGGCTCACTGGGTGTCGCAAAATATCGCAGGGTATCTGCCCGGGATCGTCCTGGCTCGTAGTTGCTGCGACGAAATTGTACATGATGTCAGAGTAGTTCGGGGGCTTCGGGTAATTTCTTTCGAAATCTCTAAGGCTCCATTCGGCACGCGGTTTTACAATTACTTTGCGTCATTTCGAAAGTGCTCCACGCCAAATTATGGCGTGGAGCACTTCCAGAGTGACGCAAAGTAACGCTAAATCACGCTAAGTAACGCGTACCGAATGGAGCCTAAGTCCACGAGCACTCTGCCAGCCAAAGCTCTTGGCTAAATTGACCTCAAGCTCAATTCAAGCTGCGAGTCGCTTTTCGGGAGTGCGTGACCTTGCGTGACATGCCAGCGCACTCCTTCTTCTTACCACCATCTCCCTCGGTGCCTCCCCTCCCTGCCTCGCCTCCTGCCTTCCCTCGCCGCCTCGCTCGTCCTCCCCCCTCGCTCGCCTCCCCGCCTCGCTCGTCTTGCTCGTCTCTCGCTTCTCACCCTCCTGACAGCTTCCCTAGGCAGCGCGACGCAACCGAGGTGTGTCTTGGATATCTCTGTTCGTAAATCGACTAATGTAGCCTTAGCGCACTCTTGCGCTCGTGCACCTCCGAACCACTCCGTCGCTGGCACAGTGGCACGCAAGGATCCGACAGGACTCGTGAGGTACGTCGTCCACTCTACCCGGCGAAAACCGGTCCTAAAGCCATCCTTTTGCCAGGTTATCACTTCGTACTGAATACCCGCTGAGGCAAGTCCCGGTCTCGTTTCAATCACTACGACCTCCGCTGACATCCGCCAGAGCCGCCTGGACTGCCGCCGCATCGAAGACCACCAGACGACAACGGTGTGCCCTCAACAATATGATCCAGGTCGAGGAGTGGATGTGGCGGCCGAGCGACAACAGGGTAGAGAAGGAAGGGGATGGTGACGGCGATGCAAGTGGGACGGCGGGGCGAGGGCAGCGGGGGCGACGCATGCGGGGCGAGCGAGGCAGCGGGGCGCGCCGCGCATATGTACAGCCCGTGTAATTAGTAGGAAATGAATATATATTGTTTGCCCTACTAGCGACCCTATGTGATATGCAGCGATACCCAGCAATGCCAAGGAGGAAAAGAGAAATTCAGGGATCGCTGGGGCTCACAAACTGCCATAATTGCCCTCCCCAGGCTAACCTGGTATCGCAGGGCATCACAGTTTTCTTTGTTTGATCTTGAGAGCCCCTGCAATATCCGGCGATATCCTGTGATACCTGGCGAGCCCTGTTTCTCACTGGGGATGGCCGGGACTGTTCTGTTTCCCCCCGTCTTGTGTCCTAGACCCCATCTCAGACTACGAAGCGTGGGAAGTTCGCACTTCGATTTTAGCTGAAGTCACAAGATCTTGGGTTCGGACCTCAACGAACTATCTTTCAAGTAGTAGCCACAGTACATTTGAACGTGAAAGCATACAATTACATCTCAGAACTGGTCGCTAGCGTGTCCTAGGTATCAATTATCATCGAGTCCTTTGAACTAATCGACGCCATCTCAATGTCCGTATCGTCCACATCTATCCCAACATCTCCGCGGTCCCCAACCACCGATGTCTTGAGCAGTTTATTCTGGAGGTGCTCGCTCTTCACTCGAAGACCTGGCTGCACTTTAACCTTCTGCTTCCCTTTCTTCTTCCTCGCATCAGTGGTAGCCTTGTTTGTACAAGCTCGCACCACAATCTCTGCTTCAGTAGGCTCCCGCTCCAGTTCCTTCCTCAGTTCTTTACGCGCAGTGGTGCAGCGTGTCTGCTGTGCCTTGACTTCTGCAACGGTGCCTTTTCGCATTCCGACATTCGGATTTCGATGTGCATCTCTTGCACGATACAGCAATTTCTGCTGCGTGTCCACGAGATCAGGATACCATAGGCATGGTGCAACAAAACTTGTATTATTTTAGATATCACTTCAATTGTCACGATTCGATTCCAATCTTATCGCGACAACGCCTATCTCGGAGGCGCCTAATGAAGCGCCCACAGATGAGATAACGAAGGGATTAGATAGTTGAACACCTGGCAAACACATGGTAGAAGAACATTGCAGAACATTCCGGTACTACATGTTGCAGCAGGATGGTTTACGCACCGAGTACATACACGATTCATATTCACACGGTTCACAGAACAGTATAAGTAGAGTAGTTTCTTGTATTCCTTAGTCTTTTATTCGATTCATTTCTCGAAGTCCTGCGCATCTCACTCCCCAATCCGCTATCTCTGTATAGTCGGACGAGATAAGGCTTTGATTGTGACATAATAAAAGACTCCCCTTCGTACCACCCGTACCGTCATACCTCGCTCTCACCCCACTTTACCTTACCACCACCCACGCACTATTTGCGTAAGCATTACCATTTCACCATCTCGCGCGCTCGCGCACTCGTTCCAAACCTCCTTTCCCTTTCCTCCATTTCCGACAACCCGTATTGGACCACTATAACAGACAGACGCTGTACCACGGGAAACGTTGAGTCCGTCCCAAGTACAATAGCAGTCGTAGGGGTACTGGGCAGATCCTCGGAGAGGCCCATCCCGCTATCGCCGGGGGTGTTGTAGAAGACCCGGGATAGTTCTGTTCGCAAAAGACCGATACGGACCCCACCAACCGCTTAGTGCGGAAGAAGACCAGTTGCGCTGTTCCGCGCACCCTCTAGCACCGGCTCTTCGGAGTCATCATCGTTGTCGTCGTCTTCCTCCGCGCACCCACCACCTCCTCCTCCTCACAGCGTACCTACACATCTCCCGCCTCTTCCCTTGATACTCCCCACACCTACTGTGCCACCCACTTCACCGTCCCCCGCCACAAACCTTTACCACTCGTTCCCGACCCTCACCGACATGTCTCACCACGCCACATCCCAGGGGCCAAGCCGTGTCCCATCCCCTGCGCCTAGTGTGCAGATGAACGACCCCGAACCCATTGCTTCCACGCCGAGAATCTCATCCTCTCGGATCACCCTCGCCTCTCTCCCGCGGCACTTTGACGGAAACGACAAGTCCAAGTGGGACACTTGGAAGGATGCGCTCGGAAATTACATCTGGGCATACGAAGCGGAGTTTCGCACTCCGAAGACAAAAATTGCCTTCACAATTTTGCTGCTCAGCAGCAAGGACGGCGCGCCCAGCCCAGCTTCCAACTGGGTCCGTAATTGGCGCAAGCGAGTGCTCGACGAGGACGACGAGCTACCGGAAGGATATTCCTTCAAGGGTTTTTTGGACGACCTTGGCAGGACGTTCAGGGACCACAATGTGCGCCAGACAGCGTACATTCGCCTTACCACCACGAGGCAAGGGAAGACCGCCTTGGCGGACTTCATCCAGGCGTTCGAGTTGAACGCAGAGGAGGCGGGATACGACCCGCACGACGACTTGCACGGGCACCACAACCAGTTCCTGTGCGAGAACCTAGATAACCTCGTCAACGAGGAGGTTCGCACGCAGCTCTATGCCGGAGGCGTAGAGATCCCGGAGGATTATGCCGGGATGAAGGCCAGGATGATGACGATCAGTCGCATCCTAGAGCGGCAGAAACTGCGCAAGGCGCAGCAGCCGAAGGCGGCCGGGACTCCGTTCTGGGTCCCCGCCAAACCTCCCCCACCTGCACCCAGCGGTAATTACCGGGGAACTGTGCCAAATTTGGCGAAGAAGCTCGGTCCGGGGGAAGTAGCCCCTATGGACGTGGATGCTTCGAAGTCGAAGGGGAAACCCTTCAAGTGTTACAACTGTGGCGATGAAGGCCACATGGCACGCGAGTGCCCACAGCCACGCCGGGAGCATGGAAAGATCAATGTCCGCGCTCTGCGGACGAACGAGATGTCGAAGGAGGATTTCAAATTCCTCTTTAACCAGGCCCTGGCCATGTATGGCCAGGATTTTTAAGGAGGGCCCCGATCAAGGCCGAATCGGCGCCCCCCGCTTCTCTTCCCCTAAATAAATATGTTCCGCTTGAGGTGGAACCGACCGAGACCCGAAGTTCTTTTGTAAATTATATAAAACAGCGCACTGCTCTACGTACACAGGACAATATAGTAGTAGGAGTAGATGTAGAAAAAGACAAAAAACAAATACGTATTTTAGAGAATCTGAATCGCATCCGTAATATTAAAAAACATAGAATGAACGAAGTGAACAAGCATTGGAGTTTATTTAAAAAGGCCCCTGGAACCCAAACCAGTGAGAAAAATAGTGCGGATAAAAAGGGTGGTGCTACCGCGATGGCTCAACCCACAGTTGTGGGGGAAGCGCCAAAACAGATAGAAGTCGTGGGGGCGAAGGTAAGGATTAAGATAAAATGATTTACTCTGATCCAGAACACGGTCTGAAGTCCAAAGGGGATCAATCGCGCGCCCAAAAACAGGAATGAGGTGACAAGAGCGCACAATATCCGTAATCAAAATTATGGTTGAGTTGGGATGAAGGTTGCGAGTCGAAGGTGTGATGTGGTACATGCTGATGTCGGGGGCAAGCTGGGTGAGCGGTGTGAACCAGTCAATGTAGGCCAGTGGGTCGGGGTATTTGCCGTGGGCCTCTGGTAAACGGAATATTACTTTGACGCGCGCGACACGAAGACCTGAACAGATGTTCAACACCAATACTGATTCAAACAAATCAATCTGACCGTCAATGGGACTTGCACCCTCGCCCCAGACATGGGTGCGCACAAGGATGGTAGTGAACTGGGGCGGTTTGGCTGGTTTCACACCGGTCGGCATTACTTTCCTCGATCCCCGACCGTTTTTGATCCAACTGCAGTGATTGCGGGTAGCGTCAAGGATAGGTGCTTGTAGACTGGGAATGTAGAGGAGTCGGAGAGGTTGACG